CGTTCGGGCGAGTGCACACGCATGAAAACCTCTCAAAAAAAAAAAAAGAAAAGAAAAAAGGATAAAGAAGCCTAAGGTTTTTTTTAAAAAAATGTAATCTACAAATTATTTTGAGAAGAACCAAAATGTTTCATAGTATTCAGAATTCCTAAGAAATATGGTTTTCCAGGGTTTTAGTTTATTTGGATTTTTTTAGGTCTGATAATAACATTTGATAGTTTTAGTTTTCTCACACACGATGTTTGTTTCACCTTTTTTTTAGTAGGTTTCCTGCATATGTTGTTTGTTCTTGTTGTTCTAAAAGACATTTCTTTTCATTAGTTTTTCTAAGTGGTTGCAATTGCTGGTATATAACAACATGTATTTTTTTTTTTTAATTGCAAGGAGCGTGTGCATTTGTCAGAGAGAGAAAGAAAGTGGGAGAAGAGAATATCCCAGTGAAATGTGGTCATGCCACGATCCCCTCTCCTCCGTTTCTCCATCCTGTTGAGATTCAGGGCATGCATGCACATGCACCCGACGTGTCTTTCAATGCCACCAGGGCTGGATTCTGTCCATGGTTAGCCGTTCAGGATCAAGCTCTCCTAACCACTTAGGCTGTGGGGCTGGCCTAGGAACACATATTTCGTTAGAAGTAAAAGTGCCTTCATGATTATTATGTTCTCAATGTTTATCTTCCAAAAACAACTTCATGTGTTAACTTGCTAACCATCAAGATGACAGTACTAAGAGGCAGGGTCTTTGGAGAGTAATTAGGTCAAGAGGTCACAGCCCCCATGAATGGGATTAATGCCCTCCTAAAATAAGTAAGGAAACTTGCTGGCACCTTCCACCACATAATGACACAGCAAAAAGACACCATCCACAAATCAGAACTTGGGCGCTCTCACTAGACACCAAAGCTGTTGACACTTGGATCTTGGCCTCCAGAATTGTGAGAAATACGTTTCTGCTGTCTATAAGCTATCTGGTGTATGGTATTTTTGTTTTAACAGCCTAAACAAACCAAGATAATATTTTCTTAAAATGACACTCCCTTCTCTTCTCTTTATGTTGATTTCACTTACTCATTCTCATTTTCAGTTTGCCAGACAAAATATCCCCAAAACAAAGGGGGACATCATTTACATTTGCTAAATACGAAACACTATTTAAGAACTTACTTGGCATCCTTCCAGTCTTCCAAGGCAGAGGGGTCAACACATAGCCATCTTTGTATGCAATAATAGTTAAGCTGAGTCCCAATTTATAGGGTACTTTTATCAACACTGCTCCATTGCTTTTAGTTACTATGGAATTTGTCTTCGTGTAGTTCACAAACACTTCCACAACTGCTTGGCTCAAGTACTGACGGCTGATGATGTCATTCACCTGGACTTTCAGCATAAATACAGACACTGAAGAGAAAAATTCCAGAAATTGCAGCATATTAGATCCTAATATATCCATATATCATTACTCTTTAAAATGAAATGCAACAGGCAGATTGGTTAAGACACTGGACCCCCACGTGGCTGATGGTAGTTTGAGTCTCAGATCTGGTGACTTGTTTTCTCACTTTCCCTCTCTCTCTGGTAAGCTCATGTGCCCTATAACAAATTGTAAAATAATATAACAATAGTAATAATAAATAAATAAAATTAATTCTTTTTTAAAGATAATTATTTTTATTTAACTTTATTTATTCATTTATTTATATTTTAATTTGACCAGTGAGGGACAGAGTAAGAGCAAGAGAGAGCAAGAGAGAAAACAAGCCTCCAGGTCCAGGACTTGAACCACAGTCATTCATGTGGGTGTCCAGTGCCTTTAACCATCGCGCCACCTGCTGGCTCCAAAATTAAATAACTCTTTAAAAAATAAAGTCATCCAACATATCTGAATAACAGTACAAAATTATTGATACATTTAGAAAATATACATTTATAGATGGATAAGAGGTAAAAAAAATATTAACAAATTCATTATTCTTACTATCACTAAATAAATTAGATTATTTATCATTAATAAGGCACAGTACTGGGGCCAGCAGGTAGTGTTGTAGCTAAGGCACTGGAATCTCACATGGCTAATCATAGTTCAAGTCCCAGACCTAGTGGCTTGAAAATTACACCAAGTGCATTTGCATGTGTGCCTAAAATCCTAGGAGGAGAATGGAAGAGAAGAGATTGCACCATGGCCATATCCCTGCGGGGGGGGGCGGGGGGCATTTCTCACTTTCCCTCTGTCTCTGACTCTCTGATGAGCATGCACACCCTACAGTAAAAACCTAAAAAATTAAAAATGAAAAAAATAAGGCACAGTATTGGGCCAGCTCTATGGTACAACGGTACTGTGAAGCTGAAGAGAAACCAGATCCCACAAGATGACTTAAAATAATTTTTATCAAGAGTAGTATTTCAGATGAAAATCCTAGTCAATACTGATTGAACCTCAATATTGCTACCAAATTTTTGTTAATCATGCCTTATCTATTCCAACTTCATTGGAACAAATATGACTTTAATTTGCTTTTGTATCATAATAACGATATTTGAAATATAAACAGAGCTATATAATAGTTGCCCAATCCTAGGGAAGGTATGAACAAGTTTGAAAACAGCTCTATTCTTGGCATTTATTATAATCCAAATACTGTTGTCTACATACTCAGACACAAACATTTTCAGTATATTTCCTTTTATGTATGATACTAATGAAGCTGTAACAACTAGAATGTGCTAAGAGTTAATGAGCCAGACACTGTTAATGTTTAAGTGCATTACTCCATTTATTCTTAAAACTATCTTTATTTGAAAGAAGTGCGTTATTCCATTTATTCTTCAAAATATCCTTATCAGAAAGAGACTATTGTTTTCTTCCTTTTGCATATATTGATGATGAGAGTTGCAGAGGTTTGACAATTACCTTCAGTAGACAGAAGAAATAGGACATAAACTTAGGACTAATTCCTCTCAAAGTTCATGCTTTTAAACCCCTGTACTATCTGCTTTACTATACTCTTTTTTTAGAGAGGTTTTTGCTATATGGCACGTGCACTCGCCTGAGACAGAGAGACAGAAAGCGAGAAATCACACACACACACCCCCCCCGGAGGGATGGCCACACAACAATCTCTTCTCCATTCTCCTCTCGGGATCTTTGGCATGCATGCACACATGGCCAGCGTAAGTTTAAGCCACCAGGTCCGGAACTCAAACTGTGGTCAACTACATGGGAGTCCAGCGACATAGCCATTACGCCAACTGCTGGCCAACTATACTCTTAAAAGCAAACATAAGATGAATCAGCCTCTCCATGATTCTGTAACACCTTACTCGTTATTGTTAACAAATAAAGTTTTTAGATAATTGGCAATTTTAGCTGTAGGCACCAAGAATTTGTATTCGAAACATCTCTAAAATAAATCTTTCTACAATATTTTATTTTTAATTATGGGGTCTGGATAGTGGTGCAGCAGTAAAATGCTCCCCCTCTGAAGTTAACCCACATGGGAAGGTTCCAGGTTCACATTTGGAGATCTCCCTGAGTACACTGGGCACACATGTAAACATGATCCAGGAGTGACTGAAGCTGGGAATAAACCACGGCATCAAATCCTGTTGAGGTGCTGTCTCTCTCTCTCTCTCTCTCGCTCTCTCTCTCTCTCTCTCTCTCTCTCTCTCTCCGCCTCTCTTGCTCATGAAACACATCAGCTTAAAAACAAACAAACACAAATGCAGCCCCAGTTTAGAGTGTACACATGAGACCTGACTAGAGAAAGAAAGAAGGGTAAGAGAGTATACCTCAAACAATCACATCTTAAAATGGGGTTCCATTAGTCTGTGTGATACTCTATTCATTTCCTGGAAAGGCTTATATATATTCAAATGTAAATATAGGGAAGGAATTCTAACGAGAATTATATATCTTTGAAAGTTACCATATATCTGCTTCTTAGACAGCTTTATGATAACAAACAACTTTGTGGCAGGTCAAATTACTTGTGAGTAGTCACAACTATTATGACTTTTAAAAGAGAAAATCAGTTTTTGGGCTAGCAGGTGGCATGGTGGTTAAGGGCACTAGATTCCCACATGACTGACTAAGGTTCAAGTCCCAACCTGGCAGCTTACCTTAAATATTAGAGGATACAACTTTAAGTAGAAGGTATTTTATTTAATAGGCCACTCTATCGTACAAGAAAATGAAGAAAAGAAGGATAATGTTAAGTACCAAAAATACGATAAACCACATGAGAAAGAGACTGAGCATAACCTAAAGATAAGAGAATTAGAATTCCCTATTAAAATTTGATAATAGTCTTATTCAAACCAAATGTACTTAAAATGACTCCTTTAACAATATATTCAGAAATAAGATTCAACAGGGAATTTTTATTAATTCATTTCCTTCCTTCGAAGATCAATTTCAGAAATTCTCAGAGCCTTTGGATTTATAGACTAATCCCAATGTGTGGCGAGATCTTAAATTAAATTCTCTAAAAATAAAATCTGCCTATTCCATCTCTTTTATCCTTGTAAAAGTACAATTGTTAAAATAAAATGCACTGAAAACCTCCTGACATTTTGAAGCGAGGTGTGATTCACAAAATGTTTACTAAAACACTTTGGAATCTAGTATGGATGACTTTATTTTACACATGTAATACTAATGTTAATATATATTTGATGAAAAATATATTTAGAAAAAGATTTATAAAGGGCAAATCCTGACTCTCAAAAACCAGTCTTCTTTAGGACCAGACAGTGACATAGGGGTCAAATGTGACACACGGGGAGATTGACCCATACGGAGAAGTTGCTAGCTGCTGGCTCAGGGCCAGAGACCACTCTCATGAGCCCCTGATCCAGAACGGGCTGAGAATTCTGGGGTGGACTGTGCATCACAAGCCTAAGCCTGCCAAAGGTTCTGCATCTCTCTCTCTCTCTCTCCCTTCTCTCTTTCATTTTCACTCTCTCATCTACAATAAATAAACTTTAAAATAACTTTAAAAAATGAATCTCTCTGAAGAGATCCTCCGATTAGATTACTTAGTAGACTTAGTGTACAGAGGGTCCTCTGTAGCTCAACTTGGAGAAAACTAATATACTGTTGTCTTGCAAAGGTTTCCTCCCCGCCCTACTTAATAAACACTAAAATCAAAATGCACAGATTTTATATATACATAAATGTTTGTGTCATACACAGATGCACATATCTTTCCCAGTGTGGAAACTTTACATATGTTGTCTAATCTCATCCTAACACAAACCTATAAATGTATTTCCAAATGTTAAGGCAAAGAAATGGAAGTTATTGCACATTACAAAGGGTATAGAGCCAGGATTCACAGACTAGTTCCTCTGACTCCGTGTCCCCCACTCTTTACTTCATACTCTCTGTCGTTGAAAAGCCTTAGGAACTTCATTTTTATCATATTTACTAGCTTATTTATTTTCTCCCAGTCAGTGTGAGAAGGAAATGGTCATTCACTGACTCTCTGAGCCTCTCCTCTCCTTGAACCTGGTTTATCTCTCACTCCTACACAAATCACAGCAAAAGAAGCATTAAAAAAAAGAAAAGAAAAGAAAAGAAAAGAGAAAAGAAAAGAAAAGCAACAATCACTCATAAACAAAAAGAGTGAGATGCTGGTGCAGCAAACACAATGACTCTATGAGGCTGACCACTTGGGAAGGTTCTGGGGGACCTGAGACCTCCCTGAATATGCCAGGCAAGCATGCATGTGCTCATGATCCAAGGCTGGATAAAGCCGCTAAGGGATATGGCATCAAGACCCTCTCTGGGGTGCTGTCTCTCTCTCTCTCACTCATGGAAAACATTAAGTAAATAAATAAACAAACAAACTCAGCTGAAAGCCTGGTCAAAGCAATAACGAGGCACAAACCGATTTTTTTCCCCTTCAAATGAACGTCTGTGACCTGAGCAGATGCTTCTTACTTCTGAGGTATCAACCATTGATCAAGCACACAGCATTGGCAGACAGAAGCAGTATGTATCTGCAACAGTCCCCTCTACTAGTTCTCTCCTTCAACAAAGGTACTTGGGCATTTAGACTGGGCAGGGTCCATGGTTAAACATACGGTTTTCAACCAGAGTTGCTTTTGTCTCTACAATCTACCCACTCTCCTCCATTGCACTTTTTAGCTTTTCATGGACATATTATTTCCTCTGTCACTTAATTATAATCATTATGTTTTGCCCACATAATCTTCTTTTCAAAATGTCAGCACTGGTTTAAAAATGGTTCAATATCAAATGATTTCAACGGCGCCCTTAGAAAACATATAATCAAATGTGGAGAGAAACAAGCAAAAATAAAAGGAATACAAATGAGTAAGGTCTTGAGATTGCTGGTTAGTATTTATCACAAGATTAGAAGCCTTGTTAAGTAGCG